GAGAGAGAGGGAGGGAGGGAGAGAGAGAGAGAGAGAGAGGAGAGAGTGAGAAAGGCAGGGAGAGTATGAGAAAAAGATATATCAAATTAAGATTACACACTATAAAGATATTTACTTTTTTAGCTTCTGTATGTCCTGTGGTATGACTCTTATCTTGTTGCAAGAGAGATCCAGCTCTGATAGTGTCACTATGTTGCACACAGACACTGGGAAATGGACCAAATTATTATCACTGAGGGAGAGGATCTTGAGATTTGAGAAGCGATAAATATCGTTGATCCAGCCTTCGGGTTGGTATGCTACCGAAGAATCTTCAACCAGCTCAAGCATGAAATTGTGTGAGAGATTGAGAGCAGCAAGATTCTTATTGAGGAAGAGGTATTTTGGTAGTCGGTTAAGACTACAGCGAGAGAGATCAGCTTCTAATGGATGCTTAGTGACAACCTAATGAGAGAGAAAGAGAAATAATGATAGGAAAAAAGTATATGAAAGTATGATTATTTAAAAGAGATAGTGGTATTCTGTTGATTGATATAAGGCATAAATTAGTCGCTAATAGAATTCTTTGCACTTTAACTGGGCAAGGTGTAAATACATGTAATTTAAGATAAAAGAGCCACAAAATGCGCCAAAAAATGTTTGTAAAATCATCACAATGTTGCTCAATTGGGTATGTTATAGCATTTAAATATCTTTATTTAAATTTAATAAAATGATTAGTACATGCAATTATTGCTACATGTATAGTTAAAAGTTATTATTCTATTGCTAACCTTTGCTGCTCTCTTAAGCCAGACTGACTGATCATAGCGACTATCAAAAGAGAGGAAAACCGTCTTCTTGGACGACATGATCTGAACGCAGTACAAGTGCTTCTTCGTCTCATACTCAATGACATTGCCACCAGCAAGATCAAGAGTGAGAGAGGGTTTCCCTTTAGGAGTGCTGGACGAGAAGACATGGAGCTGACAGCCGCACAGAACACAGAACCTCTTAGACCAGAAACTGAATGGACTGGACTCTTTGAATTTGACAGTGCATGTTAGTTGAACCCTCTCATCGGCTTTATTCTCTTCTCTGCCTACAAGAGAGAGAGAGAGAGAAGGAAGAAGAATGAGAGAAATAAATTATATAAAAAATAAAATGAGAAGCATAATGTATGGGCTCTAGCAGTTAGTGCTCAGTAATATATCAAAAGTATTAAATGAAACTGAAGCAACTGATATGTATATCATATGTCACACTGCTGCCCAGATATACATGTAGGTATTTTTATTTTTCCCTAAAATATACTGCAATAGCATTAACTTATCATACAAGGAGTTATAAAAACCACAAAGTTAATATTAGTTAATGCCCTAAAAGTTAGGGCATATAGGCCTGCTAGAATAAGGTGCATTTAATATCTACATCCATATACTTCAACTTAAAATCAACAGTTGTAAAAACCACAGTACATTCTACATAGGGTTGCTAGCACATATATTAATACCAGATTTAAAGACCAATATCTATACATGTGTGAGTGTGAGAGTCATCCTTACCAGCAACAAACTTGAACATGTACAGCAGATCATCCCTTGTCCCTTCAAACTGTATTCTCTCGGGGTCATCATAGCCCAGGGACTTGAGAAACTTATTTTGAATCTTCAACGGGCAATCGTCATATCCCAGAGGCTCGGAAGAGTGCCCAGCATAATAAACATACAAATTGCTAGTGACACATTTCGACATTATGACTTCAGCATGAGTCTCAGTGTCGCATTGCGTGAGCTCAGAGTAAGTAGATCCTGGTTGATAGACTCTTATTGCTCCTCTGCTGGGGTCTTCTTTAATCCACGCTTGAGCTCTTCCTCATCATGCGAATCATCAACTGCTAAATCATAAAAATTGAGACTGAAGTTCCTAGAGCGAGAC